GGGGCGGGGGGGCGCGCGTGTGAAGGTTCCTTTTGAAGAAGAAGCCTTGTGGTGGCATTATTAGGAGCGCCCCAGTGTGCCGGATTATTGCAGTGGGATGTCATGTTGTGGCGCAAATACCACGCTGAAGTGGTCACACATCTCTAGGAAACAAAGTGCTTGTGGCGGGCTTTGCCAGAGAAAGTTTTCTTACCGCTACCAGCACTTGGATATCTCTCACAACCAAAAATTGAGCTGATGGTACTTTTAGATACCATCTCACCGTACCCGAGTGTCTGTTTTGTAGAAACAGAGCTCGCTCTTTCTTAAAAAGTGAGTGATTGAGCCCTGCTTCTGCACTAGTGATGGCACAGGTTGCATAAGACAGAGCTCTCTACCATGTGGCCTTTCAGTTTGAGACCATCGCGCTGCTTGTGGCAGGCGAGTAAGAGCCCGTCCAGATCCAGGTGGGGCTCTGCACTGTTTGATTTTTTTTTTTATTTTTTTTTTCCTTTCTTAAAAGTGTTAGCACCTCGAACAGCACTGGAAGGCGCTTTGAGTAAATATTTGCCCCTTTTCTCTGCCCGTGGCCTTGGCGTTCTGGGAAAAAGGCTGCATTTCTTCCCTTTTGCACTTGGGAATTGCTTGCCCTGGCCCAGCCCGGTCCTTTTGCGGGATGAGGCTCTCCGTGCTTGTGAAAGAGCCCCCCGAGGAGGGAGGCAGAGTGGTCCTGCCTTTCCAGAGGGGAACAGTTTCTCTGTGGTTCTTTGGTAGGATGCAATGATTTGTAGGACAGTTTTATGTGTGCTTGAACCTAAACCTCTGAGCCAGCCAGCTGCCTGCAGGTTGGTGCCCTTCCTCCTGGCTCTTGAAAGGCGTCATTGCACTTTTGCTCAGGCTTCGTGGGATGCGGTGGGCTCCGTCCTCAGGCAGGACATGGGTCTGTCTTGGCAGGAGCACCGCAAACAGGAGCAGACGCCTTGCGTAGCCCGTGGCTGCTTGCTGAGCTTGGGCTACCTTCAGCATTTACTGTCTTTTCAGGCCTGTAACCTTCTGAGCGTCCGTAAAATAAGTAAATGGGGAGATGGGATGTGTAGCTGTGTGGGCTGTACAAGGGGAAAATCACCTTTCCCTCCGTCGTGCTCTGCCACCACCCGTCGTGCTCATCCCACAGAGCTCCCTTCTCCCGAAGCCTCCCCACCTCGTGCTTCAGTGCACATTATCTGGGACCTTATTTCAAGTGTTGGTATGTTTTAAGGATTGTGTGCCTAAAAATAATAGTATCAAACAGACAACAGTGGAAGGTCAAGGACTCAAACGGCTTAGAAGCTGTCCCCTTAGGGCAGCATCTGAATATGGAAAACTTGTGTGGAGGGCAGAGGCAGGAGCTGGGGGAGAGCAGCCTTAAAGCGCTTTAATGCTTTCCTAAATTCCCTGCCTGTTCTTGTTCCAGTCCCACATGGGGATGGAACCGTTTGGGATTATTTTTGCCATTTTTCTCCCCGGGCGGTAAAACCGGTCCCCTCTTTGGCTGAAGACGGGGTTGGTACCCATCGCAAGCAGATAGGATGCCGTGGGGAGAGGAGTTTGCCGGGCAGCCATTTTGCCCTTCTTCCCCCCGAAGTCCTTGCGGGAAGGGCTCTCGTCGCACACAATGCCAAAAACTGGCTCCAGCAGGTTTTGTTCGCGGCAGTACCCTCCGTTGGCAGCCCACACACAAGGTGCCCAGCATGGCTGCCCCCCCGTCGTGCCTTTTCACATTCATACCCACCAGGGGCATCGTTACTATTGTTTGTAACATCTCTTGGAAAAATGAGTCATGGGCATTTTGCCTGCCCTCAGCAGGGAAACTCTGCCACATTAGCAGCAGCAACGCCCGCCCCCCCGCGCCGCTGCCTCGCATACCAGCAGGCCCCTTCGTGCAAGGAGCTGGACTTGCTTCGCTGAAGTCTGTCGATGTCAACTGCTTTTCTCGCCAGCGGTAACCTGGGCTTCGGGGAGGGTGTTGTTCCCCGATTCCCCGTGCACAGAAGCCTGGATGGAGCTCAGCCCAAGGTGTCGTAGCAAACTCCGACACCCAAAAGACGACCCTGTTCCCATAGGTCTTCTTCCCTCCTGTGCCTTGAGCTGCACCGTTTAAGCCCAGTTTTCCTGCACTTGTCTT